CTGCCACAACCTCTGGGCACCACAATGGACAGCCGGGCTCTGCTCTGAAAGGAAGGACGAGATCTTCCTAAAGAAAACTCTTGCTGGGAAACTTCCTTATTGGATCCTTCCCGTGTTTGCTTCTGGCTTTTGTTTTATTCTCTGACCCAAAGAAAACAATCCCTAGGAATGGGAGAAAGGAAAAGGGCTGCAGGAAGGGAGCAAGCACTCGTGCTCGGCATGACGAGATTGGCTCTTGGGAGGTTGCTAGGCACCTCCGGAAGAAGGCTGGGTGTCTGAGAGGATTCAGAGAAGGGGAGCGCGGAGAGCTGCAAGGGGTCGAAGAGGAACCAGCGAAGGACACCTCTGGGAAACAGCCAGGGAGAAATTCTCTGAGAGAGGTGGGGAAACACAGGGCCCATCGTGTCTAATTCGCGTGAAGGTAACGCTGATGCCCACTTTGTGCTGAAATCTGCTGACAGAGCCCCGGCTCCCCAAGAGGGCTCGACATGCTGCAGGACCGGGGCCAGTGCCGGAGCCCTGCGACAAAGGCAGCGGGCCACGGGCCACCACAGACACACGTGTGCCCAGCAGGAGATATACTCATGCCTGTGCACCGAGAGAAGAGGAGATGCGAGACAGAAAAATGCTGGTCAAGAAGCTTTCTAAAATAACATGTGGGGCACATGCTATATATGAGGCGGGATTCCAAGCACATATGTGCACGAACTCATTTAAACCTCTGCACAACTCTGAAGTGCTGTTAACGGGACACAGGGTCTGGAACGTAATCCACACCAGACAGTCCTGCCCAAAGCCATCCCTTTTATCTACATTCTACACTGTACTGCCTCCAAATGAAAGCTCAAGAAACTGGTTAGGAAATAAGTATTTTTTTTCCTCTCCTTAGATGGGTGAAATACATTGAGAATAGAACTTTGGAGTCTTCTGTGGTCAATAAGAGAATTCCTAGTAAAATCTGAAGAAGCAACCCACTGTATGTCTCTAAGCTTTTATTTTAGGCTAACTTGTTGGTTAATATACAACAAACAGAGGCTAACAATATAGTATAAACAATGTAAAATTTTTAAGAAAGAAAAATCTATAATCTGTGTAACAGTCTAGATTCTTAATTTTATTTGTTAAGTACATTAAGTCTAATTCTACGGCATAAATACCACACAATTCCAGGGACAAACAAGAATTAGCTTTGTATATTAAAATAATACAATCAGAAAAAATATAGCATCTAATAAATCCAAAGTAACAAAAATTGATACAGAATTGGAAAGGCATCTTAACATTCAGTTAATAGTGTTAAACCTTAAAGGATAATAAAGCAGAAGGATTGTATTGAGAATATTTCTAAGAATATTCAAACTTCTCTCTTTATGAGTGAGAAAATGAAGTCTTATAAACTATACTGAAGTGGCTTAAATCTATCATGCATCAGAGTTAACACTGAACTAGTTAGCACAGCCTATTTAGACAAATGGCCTATATCTACTTTGTCCAGTGTTTTGTTGTTAATTAAGAAAAGAAAAAAAAGAGCTGGGCTAATAATACTTATGTCTTCTCCTCGTCTGACCAATAGCAAAAGCCACTAAGAGCTGTCCGATTCCTCACAGCCTGATGTGAGGCTAAGAAAGGCTAAGACCCGGGAAGACAGGGCTGCTTCCTAAGAAACAGAGCTGGCTTGTTCAGATGCTGTCTGGAATGTCAATCTGACTTCCCACAAGTGTAGACCCAACACTTAGCCCACACTGGTAAAGGAATGGCCAGCACAGTAAACCCTTACTCCAAAAAGCTCGTTAACAAAATAGTCATTCCTATCCCCACTCATCAGAACTGGAAGAAGTATGCTACCTTACCTCGAACCAGAGTGAGACACTGGACACCCGAACAACTGGAACCTCTGCAATCATTTCCTTTATCATAATAAGACAAATAAACAGGCCTCACTATTTTATTTCCTTTCCTAACAGTCTCCATGAAGTAAAACCTGGGACAGAGAAGGGAGGATTCAGATAAGACAGTACAAGCAGCCTTAAATGCTGCACATGCTCCAAGTAAAAGCCAGAGCAAGAATAACCCTCAGTACTCTACATAGCTTACTGTGCTGCATTATGCTTTTTTATTGCCCATAGGCAGGGGACAATACCATAGACACCAGGGTGCAGACCTAATGATGTTATCTTTTAACTTAAAACTTTTGAGAGCTCTTTGATGCAAGAAAATAAAATGCAGACTTCTCTGATAGGATACAGAGGACTTTGAGCACCGACTCGGCAGGAAGCACAATGAACTCAGAGGGAGAAAGCCCTCCTAGGAAGAGCGGCTGCTAAGGAACCCAGGCGGAGAAGAGGAGGGTGGTTACGCCGACAGACCACACTGAGGCACAGACCCATGACAGGAGCCCACAGCTCAGACAGGTAAGCACAGCAGAGACAGTGAGGAGATTGAAAATGCGAGGGAGGGCAGAGCAGCTGAAATCATTAAGACCTGTAGAGTGTGGTCAGCAATGGCCCATTACAAATATTCGGGTCATTTAAGAGAATATATTTTCCATTACTTTTCTTTTTAAAAAGCTATAATATATGTATTTGTACAACTATATTTTTAAGTACAGGCACAATCCTGCAGTGAAGAATAACAGCCCCGATCCCTTGAATTAACACCCAACTCTGAGAAACAACCACTCTAGTAGGTATAATCCTTCAGAATTCTACTACAGCTTCCATTCATAAACATGTACTACCCACAAAATACATAGTATTGTCTAACATTCAGGGCTCCCCGGGAATGGTGCGCTTCAGCTTCTTTCACTGCTAGTCAGTGATCGGAAGTCCATCTGTATAAGTCCAGGCAGACCTAACTTCATCTTCTACATTACGGAAAACATGTACTCCATCGAGCCATTCCCCAATATTGGTTTAGGTAATGAGGATGCATTTTCACAGGGTTGTTCAGAGTCTGACCAGTTGAAAAGTAAGGAATAGCTGTAAGGATCCCATATACTCACCTCCAAAATTTAGAAACATTGCATCTATCTGATGACAACTGTTTGTTTTCAATTAACTAATTCTCTTTTAAAACTGAGCCAGGCTCTTAATTCAGAGCAATCAGATTTGTATTCCAAATGCAGCCAGAAAAAATAAAATCATAGTATATACTTGTCAAAATGTATAAATCTGTTCTGAAACTCTTAATTCCATTTCTACCAAACCACCCTAGAAATTGTTTGCATCCATTTTCCAATGAGCTCAGAGCCTGGATTATAGAATTTCGTTATCTGCTTAATCTACATAACTCATTTGAGCCCAAATGTCTGAAGTTCCTTAAACAAGTTAGAAACATATTCCTTTTTAAGTGACGTTTTATAACCACTGTGCTGATATAGTGTTGGTGAGAAAAATAGTCTTGGAAAAACCCTGAGGGTCCAGCAAGCTGACCTGATTCCAATTGGTCCTTGGTACAAAAAAAGGAGATCAGAAAATCCCTTCATCACATTTTTGACTGCATTAAAATAAAATTTCGCATCTCCAGATCTGGCTTTAGTTTCTTTTCAGGGTAGTATGAGTCGGCTGTGGTTAGGAACACCAGTGTGAAGGATGTGTCATCCACTCCCTCTGCAGTATCAGACAGGAGGCAGACAGGTGACGGTCCACAGGCTCTGATCGTGATGCCAAGAAACACAGCAAACAGAACTCACTTGTGCTCTGATTTGAATACATTTCCACTGCACTGCCTCTGCTCCTGAGTGTTGACATGTCCTCTACATTCCTAACCTGTAAAAATGCCCTGCCGATCCACCGGGCTGACAAGAACGGGGGTTGTGTGTTCCTTTCCGGTGTTTGTCTGGGAGGCAAACGAGTGTGCGGGGAGATGCGCCGGGAAGCCTTGTGGCAGGGGAACCACAGGGCCCAAGCCCTGAGATCTCTGGACAGTGAGCTCAAGCAGCGCTGTACAGCAGGGACAGGGACACAGGCCCCAGGAAGAGCCTGTGTGCCACCTCACATGTTCTGATCACTCCACCAAGTGTGCAAAACTTCAGCAATATACTTATCCAGTCTACCCAAACACTAATATATAGCCATACATTAAGATACGTGACCGAAATGTAAAATGCATTAAGTGGTATATTATTTGTTCAGCATAAGCCCTCAGAATATAACATGTGCCTCACAGAAGGAGCACTTGCCCTCTGGGCTCAAAAGCACTGCACAGCCCAGCTTGGGGAAGGCAGGGGCCAGGGTGAGAACGCCAACTGGGGTTAAGTTCTAGGTCCACATCTCACTAAGCTGTGTGCCCATGAGTTCCTGGGGAAGCTCTCTGAGTACCACCGAGGGCTGAGTACTACCATCCCAATTAGCGATAAACAGCAGAACATTACCGGCCTTGCCAATCTCTTAAAAGAATTAAACATAAGGCATGCAGTGTATCTTGGCATATGATATGTCTGGTACAGAACACAGCTCAGCAAACTCAATGCCCTTGTCATCGTAATGTGGACTGAAGAAACAATACCACTGAGGAAAGCTCAAATTCCAAGCTTAATAAAGTGAGGAGGAGGAGAAACAAGAACGTGAAAAAAGCTAATCAAAATGTTTACTAAAAAAAATCAATCAACTATTATCCATGCAATCAAAAATAAACAAAAATCACATTTTCCCAAATTGAACAATGTCAAAATAAGAAAGATGTCAGAAAGAGGTATGGTGGGTTTTTGTTTTTAAGGAAAATTATCCTTTTCTATTATTCTTGCCTCACTAAGACTACTTTCTGTTTCTAAGGGTTAGAATAAATGGCTGCAAAGTTGACTAGAAGGTTATTGAATGGTACAGAAATAACACTTCAGGATACTAAAAATATGATCAACAGTGACTGTATTATACATACTGGTAACTGAGCATTCACTGCATAATATATAACAATCAATTTTTCAAACATTTGTTACAGTATATTTTTCATTCATTTATATAAGATATCACAATGCAATGCAGAAAATACATAAAACATACCTCTGATAAAAATGTTTGGGCCGATTTCTGAGCTCCTACATGGAGCAGATATTCATATACATAGAGTGCTAACCTGAAAAACGAATAAAACATTTATTGAGAAGAGGAATACTTAAAATTCATCCTTTAAATAATGCACATCTTTCCACAGTGAAAATATATGCACTAGCAGTGACAGGAAATAAACCCTTCCCAAACCCTTTCAATGGGAATTTATATATTTACATTCAGGAAGAATAAACTAATTAAAATAGCACAGGAAGAAAAAGACAAATATGTCTGTTTGAGAAAGAACCATCTACATATAGACTTTTCTTTTGAAATATATCACTTATCAAAACATCAAACATGCCCAAATGGGCATATAGGATGACCCTATAATCCCAGTACTCTGAGAGGCTGAGACAGAAAGACTGCAAGTTCAAGTCCACCCTGGGTAATTTAGTGACTCATTGAGACCCAATCTCACAATAAACAATTAAAAAAAAAAAAAGGCTCAGTGTGAAGGTCCTGGGTTTGGTCCTCAGCATAGCACTGCTCCCAGGAGAACCGCCTTTCTTTTATTATACGTAGTGTAGCCAATAATTTATCACCAAATATTAATAATCTCCAAATTCTATTGTAAGGTAAAATAAATGAACTAGAGTTATTGGATTTTTTCCAATAACCTTATATCCTTCCATTTTTTTTGGCAAATGTTAATATAAACCCTAGCCATTTGTAGAACCCCATGCCAAAACTTGTGTGGAATATCTATTTTAATACTCATTTAGCAGCCTCTCCTTATTCTCCAGGTTTGACTGTTGACTCAATTAATATTTTAGTTTTTAAGGCATTCAAATTCATTGTATTTGTAGACTTTAAAGATAATAGATCAAAGTAAGCATGTGGGTGCATATAGTTTAAAAGTTAACACAAAACTGGATACCGATTTATCACTTGTATAGAATATCCAGTTTGTGTCACACACACTACTCTCATTATCTGTGGATTCAGAATTTTTAAGCCACACCATGTGGCTCAATTTCAATTGAGCTGTTAAAATATTATTCACAAATACAAATTAGTCTGAGGCAGTATTTTTAATGATATCTTGGACCAATGCCCAGTGAGCTTACACAGTTCGGTTTCTGCTACACTGTATTTACCAATATTGAACCAGGTTTACAGTAAACAATGCGACGTAACAATAACCACTGATCTGCACAGCCACATCCTTCTCTCACCGAGCCAATCCTTGATTGTTAAAGACTGATGGCGTCGGCAGAAGCGATCGTGTTCTTCGTGTTCGTGGAAACACACCACGCATCTGTCATGCGAGGAAGCCTATGCACAGTAAATGCTTCTGTCCCCTGGATACCCTCCCTATTCCACAAATGCGAACACTTAGGAAGGAGGCGACTTTATAGCTCCCAAGCTCCTTGAGCTCTACCCTCTGTTAAAGCTGCTTGCTCGTGCACACAGAGTACTAGGGGAGCTCTGCAGCATCTCCAAATCCGTGCACACGGAGCACACCCCTGGCCGGCACCTCACAACCCTGACACGCGTGGAGGAGCCAGCGTGGCCTTCTCCTGCAGTGTCCCGGGGAAGTGTGGCCAGCCCGCAGGACAGCGGAAGGGACCGGAACTGCAACGGAGCTCTGCTTCAAGAAACACTCACATCTCCAGCACTCCGCCTCCCCTCCGGCTGCTCCGACCCTGTGGTGATTCGCCCACCATGATCGCAACTTTCACCCTGAAAAGGGTGAACTGCGACATCTCCCCAGGGACACCCTGAAGCCTCCAAGTTGCCTGCCAGCGGGCCACTCTCCTGAGAAGAAACAGCTGCAGGTGATTCCTTGTTGCTGGGAAACCCAGGGCCTGGAGCTAAAACACGGTGCACAGGCAACGCCACTGAGAGCAAGCAGCCAGCAGAAGGACGCGGAGGCAGCGGGGCCAGAGCAGCAGGGTCCCAGCCCACAGCTGGCCGTGTTGCGCCCATCCTTAGGGTCCTGGAGTTACCTCCTTAGAAGACTGCAGTGTCTTCTTTGCAACATAAAGACACTAATATATTTCTTTGATTTTTCCTTAGCTAAATAATAAAAACATACCTAATTACAATTAAAATTAAAAGTGATGACTCTACTTTTTCCTCTCTGAGGGTCTAGACAGTGATTCTACAAACTGTACGAGGAAGGGCTCGGAACCAGCGGGGTTCCTCACATAACTGGGGTTCCTCCACCCAGAGGGGCAGGGGCAGCATCTTACCAGCAGGTGACAACAGGACAGGGCGGGAAACCTGTCACAATGCCACCCTTCCCTCCACGCCAGTAACCTCCTCTGTCCCCAGCCGCGTGGCCGATGCGGCTAACAAGGTGTTACCTCTGCCGCCATCATACTGCAGAACACTGCACTGATCGCTCCACGGGAGCGGCTCCCACTTCTGTCCCAAGCTCCAAACCAGCTTCCCTGGACTCCTGTCTGAAGTTCCCATCAAGATGTTGCATTCTTGAACTGACTGTGTTCAGGGTGAAATTCAGCTCCCCATCTTGCTTTGATCATAGCCGAGTTCGCCAGGAACAAGACATGGTTTGTCCGGGTCCCTGCTTCCTCTCTGGTTTAAAGGGAGGAGCACCTTGCTTGTATTATTAGACGGATTAAGAACAGGAAGTAGGAACAGCCATGGTCACGATCTCAGCTAACTCTCCTCCAGCACCCACCACCAAGTCACGGACGGAATCCCAGTGCCACAGCCTCTCCCAGTCAACAGTCCTTTCTGTCCCCAGTCCTGCTCCTGAGGAACCCACACAGCCATAGCAGGACTAGTGCCCCCCACCGTAAAGTTTCTGATGCCACCAGAAATAAGACTGTGCAGAAAGTTCTGGAAGAAAAGCTCTGTGACAGAAAACCCTGTGGAACACGAATGAGTTCAGGAAAGTGGGGCAGACACTGTCTGCCGTGAGGGTAAATGCAGCGAGGTCCCTTAGCCAGTGGCATGAGATGAAGAAGGAAATGATTTTATTTGGATCCAGTTTGTACGGAACAGGAAAATGTAAAGATAAATACGGAACCTGTTACTATTTAAACTGCAGGCCTTTGAGGTAACATTTCCTTTGTAGGTTTCATGATCTTTAACAAAGATAACTACTTGTGGTACAGTACAGAGTGGCTACTTAGCCAAGTAGTTCACAATATGATCTAAATACTTTGAAAAAATAAACAATCGTGTGGCAAGAACTGGTTGCAAAAACTAGATTCAATCTTTTTTATTATTATTATGTTGATAATTGAGAAAGTGCATCAGTGATTCACAAATCTTATATCTTCATTTCATTGCAATTTCAAACTGGCTTATCAGAGAGTGACTCATCAAAATCACAGCCAACAATTCTAGACAGGGAATCAAAGCCAGAAATACAAAACATGTCTAACACACACAATCCCTTTTTAATTCCTTGGTCGCTACAGGAGCCTCCGCTTCAAAGGAAAAGCAAAGGCAGAGGTTAGCGTGGGAAGACCACAGAGAAGAAGCAAGACTGAGCCTCTTGGGCAACTACATTTGAGCCCTGGGTCCTTTACCTTCAGCTACAGACACTCTCTCATCTGGTAGGAGACAGGCTGGACAACCAGCAACAGCAAAACCACAATTCAAACTCTAGCTCCAGGTCTAACAGTCAGTCTCCTTCCACCAGGCTTTACAGATTCAAAATCTGTAATAATTTACATGTAGACAGGTCTACACCCTAACCTTTTATAAAAAAATCAAAGAGTGGTGGATCCCACTTAACTTTGTACTTTGCAAAGAAGTCTAACAAAAATTAGGGTCTTTAAATTTAAAGATACACAATTAGAGGATAATTAATGATTCATAAGATGAAAAAAAAATACAGAAAAATGTTAAGTAGCTGACCGGCCCTTTTATAATCAAATAAAATTAAAAAGCAATAAAGACTGAGAAAACAGGATATGCAATTACCTGTAAAAGGATGACAAAAGACTAATATACTTAATATATACAAAGCATAAATAAAATGACCCACCAGAATATGAAGATCTTGATTTTTAAATGCTGGGTACAGTATGAAAATGAAAAGTCAAATAAGAATGGCTATAAAGAGACAGGAAGAAACACTAAGGAAAAATGCTCAACTATATAGCCATAAAGAAGCATTTCAAAATTTCATTACTTCATGTACCTAATACTGTAAAACACTGAAGTCTCAATGTTTGAAAGGGTAAAATATGGAGTGTAAATGGTACAGCTTTTCAGGGAAATAATAGGGCCAGGACAAAAGGGAAGTTAGTGGGTGAAAGGACACATGGAGAAGTTTCTAGTGTGTGCCCCCAACACCTTGGTCTGTTATCCCAGTGACACCACACACACACACACACACACACACACACACAGATGCACAGATGACAAGAGCCACCCCAGACTCCCCCGTGACTCCTCCCTCTCATAGGAATTAAAATCATGTTTTCCTGTAGGACATTTGTCTTAGGGACTGGAGGCCTGAGATAAGAGCATAACTTTTTTAACGTATAACCTTTCTTTCACTTGATTGCTTCCCTTGAGCTTATATGTTTTTAAAAAGAAACTGATATGCAAATTTTAAAAATTCAATAAATCTTTTATATTCTTTGACTCAGCAAGTTATATTTTAAAATCAGAAGTCCAATCTGTTCATAATGACGCTTGTGGGGAATGACAGCAGTGGAAAACTGGCCACCTGGAGATCTGACAGGAGGGAACGAGACTGTGATTTATAGTTCTGAAAAATGATGAAACAAAGAAATGCTCATAATTCACTTAAAAAATTTAGAAGTACCAAAATATGTACAATTATATAGAAAAGAGCAGAAGGAAATCAGAGTTACTGCAAATGGTAAAAATATTAAGGGACAGATGAAGTGGAATGACTGTGCCTGAATCAGAACAAAGCCAAAGAACAGAACCAGTGTGGCCCAGCCAGGCAGAGACGAATGTCTCCCCTCCCACCTGGCCTGGACGGCTCCTCCCGGGGCACTGTGTCCAGCTGGCATCCCAGTGCAGAACATTAGGCTTGTGCTGCCCACACTGGCCAAAAACCTACAG